CATGATGGCGGAGATGGAGATTATGTATGGGTTCAAGAACACGAATTTTCACTCACCAAGGCTGACCTGGACACAGCTGCTTCTGAGTGCCAGATCTGGCAATGGCAGAAGCCAACACTAAGCCCCAGATATAGCACCATTTCCTGGGGCAATGAGCCAGCCACCTGGTGGCAGGTTTGCTACACTGGACCACTTTCTCCGTGCATTGGCTTTTTTCTGTATGTAATGCTTCTGCCCAAACTACCATACATAAACTTACAGAATGTCTTCTCCCCTATCATGGTTTTCCGCACAGTATTGTTTCTAATTGAGGAACTCACTTCAGAGATGAAGACGTGCGACCGACACTGGAATTTCACTGGTCTTACTATGTTCCCCACTATTCTGTAGCAGCTAGCCAGACAAAAGAATGGATTGGCCTTCTGAAGGCCAACTAGTGCTCAAGAAGGCAGTATATGCTTTGAATGAACGTCTAATATGTGGTACAGTTCCCCCTGTAGCCGGAATCCATGGGTCCAGAAATCCATGGGGTGGAAAAGGGAATAATTCCACTCACTGTCACCCCTCATGACCCACTAGGAAAATTTTTGCTTGCTGCTCCCATGACCTTACATTTTGATCACCTATAAGTTTTGGTTCTATAGGAGGTAAAAACACTCCTGCTAGGAGCCAAACAAACACTCCATTGAACTGGAAGCTCAGACTTCCCCCTGACCACTTTGAGCTCCTGATGCTTTAATCAAAAGAGAAAGAAAGAAAGAAAGAAAGAAAGAAAGAAAGAAAGAAAGAAAGAAAGAAAGAAAGAAAGAAAGAAAGAAAGACTGCAGTGTTAGGAGGGGTGATTGATCCAGATTCCTGAGGTGAAGTTGGATTGTCTCTCCACCTTGGAGAAAGATGATGTCTGGAGTGCAGGAGATCCTTTAAGACATCTTTTGGTGTTACCATGTCCTGTGATTAAAGTCAAAGGGAAACTACATCAGCCTAATCCAGGCAAGATGAAGAAGGGTACAGACCCATCAGGAATAAAGATCACTTCTCCAGAAAAAACAAAACAAAACAAAACAAACACCCAAGACCTTCTGAGGTGCTTGCTGAGGATGGAGAAAATATGGGATAGGTAGTAGAGGAGGGTAAGTATAAATGACCAGTTGCAAAATAAGAGAATTATTATTGAGATGAGTGTTTCTGTTGTATTTTGTTAAGAATGTGTTTGTATGGCTATTTGTTTTCATTTCTTAATTTCTTTATCATGTGATAACAGCGTAACTGAGAGATTATCAATTGTTATATTTAAGAAGAGATACTAAAACAATGTTCTTCAGGGGAAATTGCCACCTATTCTAAAATTAATGCATTTGTGGTTGTATGAGGGATAGTTATATCATATTAGGCATAATTAGGAGCTGGTTAAATATATAATGTGTTTGTGATTATTAGTGGGATAGTTCTGTCAGGTGTAATTTTGACATGGTTATTGCTTTCATTTGGAAATTAAACAGGAAATAAGGAGATATGATTGTGTGTCAAGTTGACAAAGGATGGGCTTGTGATTGCCGTTCTTGGGTACCAACTTGACTACATGTGGAATTAATTAAACTCAATGGCTGGGCACACCTGAGAGGGATGGGGTTTTTCTTAATTAAATCATTTGAGTGGGAAGATTCACTTCTAACCCAGATCTCTGAGGTGGAAAAATAAACCTTTATTTTATATCTTTTGAAGTGGAAAGATATACAGAGATCGAAATAGAAAGAAGTAGATGTAGGTATAGATATAGATAGATTCATTCTCGACCTTTTGCTCCTCTGGAGAACCTTGACTAATAAAGTATTGGGGTGTTAAGTGGGGCTTCGATGGAGGTTAGGTAGCTGGGGACAGGCTTCCACATTCTTAGCCTGGTCCCAATTCCTGTTGTTTTCTATTTTCAGGCTGCTAATGCAATGTATCAGACTATATTCAAATAAGTGGACTGCATCCCCTTGATCTTTAAGCTCAAAGAACCCTTCCCTTAAGCTGCTTTTTGTCAAGTATTTCGTTACAACAAAAAGTGTGTGTGTGTGTGTGTGTGTGTGTGTGTGTGTGTTTATGTTTATGTGTGTGTTGGGGAATCAATATTCTGTGGCTATGAAAACCTAAAGTGTTCCATTCCTTTAGAGAAAACAGCACCTTATATGATCATCCTCTTTTATATGTCATATCATCTCTAAACAATGACTTAGAATATCTAAGACAATGGAAGTGCTGTGCAGACCAACTTTGCTGAAGCTCTTAGGGAATAATGACAAGAACGGTCTGCCCACGTGCAGCACAAATGCCAGTTTTCCCCCTTGAATATTTTAATCTGTAGTTTGTGGACTCCACAGATGTGCATCTCTTGGACACAGGCTGCCAACTGCATTGGTTGAGGTTGGAGTGAAAATTAGAGTTTTGGAAATCAGTACCCACTACCCTAAACACAGCAGTTTTCCCCTGGTACAAGGAATTTCCTGATGAGAGGCATGCTGATGTTAACAGTTGGGACTTAAAGGTTTTGTTGTTGTTGTTGCTTTCTTCTTTAAAGATACAACGTTTCATTGATTGTTTGATAATTTCATACATGCCATTCAATGAACTTTGTCATAATTGCCCCTACTCCTCTGTCTAACTCCTCCCAGCTTCACCCACCACTCCCTCACTTCCCCGACACTATGTTCTTCTTTCCTTCGATAACCCTTTGAGTCACTTTGCCCCTGGATGTTGGGCAATCATTGGCATGTGGGCAGCACCCTTAAGGAGAACTGACTCCCCCACTCACTTAAAGCCATCAGTTGTCAATAGCTAGGGGTGGGGACACATGAGCCCTCCCCCACTTTGTCAAATGCAATGAGTTATATGCCTAACTCAGTGAACCAGTGTTTTTCCAAAGAATTAATGCTTAATGGTACAATGTCATGCATGGGTAAAAAAACTCATTCAAACAACAACAGAAAATAGTAGATTTTAATGTAACTGGGTACAAAAATAGCAATATTGCATGCTGTCACTACCACTTATTGAGTTTTCGTGTATTATCCATGAAGAATATGCATTAATTAGCAATGCTGTTTTGAAAATGATCCTTTTTCCAGCTATATGATCTACGGGAGGCCAGATATAACACAGCAGGCAAACAGCAGATACAAGCATCCGGTTCATGTCCATATGAGCAATCACTGTACTGCAGAGATTTGCAAAAGCTCTGTTTTGGAGAATGAGATTTTTTTTCATAAACATGTATTTAACATACATATGGCTTATTAGTTTAAGTGGATTAATGAGTATAATTTCTCAGTTTAGTTTGTAAATGGCAAATATCAATACGTACAGCCCAGGCAAACAAAAACTCTTTGGTGCCTTCAAGCATTTTAAAAAGAGGTAAGGGGCCCTACAAAGAAAAGGTTTGAAAATTGCTGGCCTGTTTTGTATTTACAGAGTATTTCTGATGCTTATTAGGTAAATTGAATGTAATTAAACAAAAAGAACATAATTAAGCAAAAATTGTGTATGAGAGACTAAAAAGGAGACAGGCTAACTCAAGGTCTTCGGTTTTGGTAGAAAGGACTGATCCACAGCTAGTGAGGGTACAGTTCAGACACAGAGAGACGTCCCTGGTTTGGAGCATGTTGGTCTGTCCTCAGTCTCTTCCCCATAAAGTGATAGCCACCACATTCCTTATCTCACGGCGTAGTTCAGCGGATTCCGTGAGTACTAGAGAGCATGTGAGAGAGCCTTGACACTTAGACTCACTGCCCCTGTGTGGCCACTATTTTTATTTTAATAATAAATAATGTGTCTGGGTGGACAGCGACTGGCTCACGGTATGATACAGGGTGCTGCTGACCCGCCTCACTGTGGGAACACTGAAAGCACAGAGATGCAGTCCTAAGCCCCAGAGACAAAATATTTTGGAGCTGAGAAAGAAATCAGAATTCCCTAACCCCCTTCTTGCCCTACCATCACGCTTTCTCATCCAAAATCACATCTGTTACCCCTGTGCGGTACCTGGATGTGAGCCAAGGTTTCAGAACAAATGATGTGAGGTTGGCATGGATTCATATGCTAGGTCCCAAGCAGTTAGGATTTTTCTTGTTCCCGCAATGTGATTAATTTTCCCTTTAGCTCAGTTTGGCTGCCAGACGATCATTCAGAATGAGGCTGATTTCAGGAAATATCCACACGGTCACCTTTATTATCAGAAAAACAATTGCTTCTAAGACAAAGACTTTCTAATTTTTTTTGTGATGAGAAAGGTTTTGGACTGGGGTGGCGGAGAGAGAATCTGTGATCCACACAGGACCTCACACGTGCTAAGAAATTGCTGTAACAACTGAGCTACGCCGGCAGCCCAGGAAACACTGTCCACAAAACCAGAGACACGTAAATATTTGTGCACTGACTGTAGAAGAATCTCACTCTGAGGCAGGGGTGCTTACGTGAAATTGGAGTCACACTGTCAGGGTATCAAGCAGGATGAACTTTACTGTAATTGTTTACTAAGGTTACTGAGCATGCTGGGTATCAATTATAAAAACCTTATTGAATTTGAATGTTACCTTCTCTCTAAGATGTGCCTGGTGTGCTGGTTCATGTTAATTTCCCAGGCTCTCCTCTTCCTGCTTCATTTTTACTTGGGGGCACATTTCTCCATTCAACACACTATGTATTTTACATAGGTATCTCTTTCACTGTCTGGTGAACATGTTTCATCATGACAGCAAATTTCCATCCTTATCCTTTTGTGATGTGTTCGTAACGTCTAAGATGGGCCTGGCCTGTGATGAAGATCCTCCACTTCCATCTTCTGACTCTAAGCTGGGGACAGGTGATGTCTCTGTCGCACACCCTGAAGTCAGACAGGTGCATTGTCTTCAAATGTGCCTGCGTTATTAGCATCACTCATATTTCTCCGAATAAACTTAGTTCATGGGCTTTGATATTATATTATCCTACAGACTTCTGTTGCTGTTCATTGTCATTGGCAGGAAAGAGCCAGGAGCTGCCTACGATATCTGGTAAGCCAGCTGGCTAGCATGGAGCATTCCTTCCACCATATTCTCCTGCTGGAAATTAAGAGCATCACTGATACCTTCTCCTCCATCCTGGGCCCTCACAGCAGGGACATCTTCCGCATGAGCAACAGCTTCAGCAACATCGCCAAGCTGCTTTCCCGACAATTGGAGAGCAACAAGGCTGGGAGTAGCAGGTGAGCAGGCTCCAGCACCTTGGGGGAGATGCTGGGAACCCTGGAGACAAAACCTAGACAGCAGTGCTGTCCTTTGTGGTACTGAGACTTCCCAGAGGAAGCCATGCCCTCATACCAACCCAGAGTAACTTCTGAATGAACCAGGTCACTTGCCAGAATTGTTCTATATCTATAAACCAAATATAGCAAAAATCTAAAAGGAGTGCAAACTATGGTAAAGAAAAAAGAATGAAGTACAAATGGCAATGCCAAGTAATGCTCATTCGTTTACTCAGTAAGCATTTGAACCTTGTTCACTCTGAACCATGAATCTAAGCAGAGATAAACATGGAGAGTTATCCATGTATCCAAGGAGCTCACTGAGATTAATATTTAAATAATTAATATTTAAATAATTAGAAAATAAAATCATAGACTAGAGAAAGGGTATACTAATAAAGATGGGTTCAAGGAATTTGGAGAGCATTGAGACAGTGAAACCTAGCTATTTATGGAGAAGGAGGGGTAAAATTGAGATCAATAAATATCCCCTAGAGTAAGAGATGTTTTTGGACCAAGTCTTGGGAGATAGCCAGATTATACCAGGCTGTCTTTTTGGTGGCATGGATGTCTTTCTTGAAACAAGTCGTCATTTTGTATGAATGAAGTATATGTTAGAAGAAGAACAACAGATATGATGATGATGTAGAGACAGGGGTGAGACACGGAGACTTGGCACACCTTTCTGAGAAGCTTGAATTTTACCATGTTGATGTCACTGTGAGATTTAGCACATGGTAGGATAAACTCAGAACCCACTTCAAGAAGGTCACTTAGTGCAGAGGCAATCCCAACAAGAAGATGACAAGAGTCAGATCAAACAAGTCAAACATGGGTGTTGGCCATGAGAAAATTATTGGTGATGGTGAAATTTGGCTGATCTGAAAAGAGGGCAGCTGGGCCTGAAGGGTGGGAGTGAATTCAGCACATAGTGTCCTGTGGGCTGTCCTGTGCTTGATAGAATATTCATCAGAAACCTGAGCCTTTACCTACAAGATGCTAATAGGAGTCTCTCCTGTCTTAGTTGTGACAGCAAACTCGGCTGAGACAGAAAAAAACACTGCTATGTACATACATCACTCAAAAATAGCATTTCCACAGGCACCTGACTGACATACCAATATCTTTATCATAGTAGCATCCAATAACATATATGAAACCCCAAAGCCACTGTCAGCTAAGTTGCACCGTATAGTTTCAAAATGTAGTTTAGGTTCCCTGCAGCTAGTGTTGAGGAAAGTTTTTATACTGTATGGACTGCCAACCTGCTTCTTCCAGCCCTTATGGACACACTTGTCAGAAGAAAAGCTCACACATGTGCCCTGGCCGGGGGAAATGTTGCCTACAAACACTTCTGAGCTCATGCATGTGAAAGCATTAAATAACATGGCAAAAAGTTACAAGACTGTTACACTCAATATTCTAACAGTGAAATTGATCTTTGATAAATAATCCCTAGTCCTATTAGCAACATTATTCCCTTCACTATTTGTGGGGAGCGTAAAAAGAAAAAGAGAAGGAAGTAAAGGAAATGAGGAGGGAAGGAGGAGGAAGGGAGGAAAAAAAGAAAGGAAGGAAAGGAGGGATTGTTGAGAGGGATGGATAGAGGGATGGAGGGAAAGATGAATGGAGAAAGGAATGGAGGGATGGAAGGATGGAGAGAAAGAGGAAGGCACTGGGTGTACCTCACTGGAATACACTTTGCCTTGCTTGTGAGGCCCTGGTTTCATTCATCAGCAATGAAAATACAAAAGGAAAAAAATTAAAAGGTCAGCATGCATCCCACATATGGCCATCACCTCAACCTCTCTCAATTCAAAATATTTCTCCCAGTTCAAGCCTTGCTGTCACTTTCCTTCTAACACACTGTAATTATTCAGTGGGAACCTCAGAAGTGTGGTGTGGACAGCTAGCCTTTTGTGCCCAGGGCTCATCCTCTCTGGGATGGTTGCTACGGCTTCTCTCCCAGCATCTTTTCCCTGAATAGCCTTCCTTGTGTCCATGAGATTCTACTCATTTGAGTCCATGCCCCCAAAGCTGAAAGGTCTATACTTTTGTGTGAAGCAAAGACAAAAACCTGATTCTTACAATTAAAGAGAAAATGAACAAGTGAAGCGATCCTGAAAGAAAATTAAAGATGATAAAACTCAAAGCAGATGTCAACTAATTTACAAATGTGACACACAGCTCAGCAGGCCAGATTTTAGACTTCAGGCCAAAACAACAAGACTATCAAAAGAAAAACAATTAGCATCCCAGAGAGAATGAAAAACTGAAGCAGACGTGCCTTCCTCTTGCCAAAGATTCTGAATAAATCGGGTGAGTTTTGTAAAGGGCAGCAGGTGAACCTATTTGCATTTTCTCCGTTCCTCTGTCTCTAAAAATGTGCTTGTGTTTAAATAAAAGCCAACAAAGTCTAAATGACAAGCAGAGCATTTAAGTTTTGAAATCAATTCTGGGGAAACAAAAGAGGAGGCATAATAGCAACTGTGGATTGACAAGGTGAAGATTAGGAGTGAGGAAAAGAGACCTATACCTTGCAAATGGCATGCCCTTTGTGGCCTTCTGGACAGCCCTTAACAACTGGGGTGATTGTTTGTCAAGCCCAGTCAAAGCAGGAAGGGGAGAGCTTGTTCTTGGTGACCATGTGACCAGCTCTGCAGTCCCCCAGCAGACTTTGAGTTCAGTGGCCATTACAGTCGATCACAGCTTCTCAGACCTTTTCTACTTGAAACTTCTTTACAGCCAAGAAGTTTTTGTGAGCCTAGGTGTGTGTGTTTATGTGTGTGTGTGTGTGTGTGTGTGTGTGTATAAAAATGCATGTACAAATCAAACACTAATTATTTAAGATAATTTTTTTTATTTTTTATCTTAATTTTTATTAATTACACTTTATTCATTTTGTATCCCCCCATAAGCTCCTCCCTCCTCCCCTCCCAATTCCACCTTCCCTCCCCCTTCTCCACCTTCCCTCCCCCTCCCTCCCCAAGTCCGATGATAGGGGAGGTCCTCCTCTCCTTCTTTCTGATCCTAGTCTATCAGATCTCATCAGGAGTGGCTGCATTGTCATCTTCTGTGCCCTGGTAAGGCTGCTCCCCCTTCAGGGGGAAGTGATCAAAGAGCCAGCCACTGAGTTCATGTTAGAGGCAGTCCCTGTTCCCATTACTATGGAACCCACTTGGACACAGAACTGCCATGGGCTACATCAGTGCAGGGATTCTAGGTTATCTCCATGCATGGTATTTGGTTGGAGTCTGAGTCTCTGGAAAGAACCCTGTGTTCAAATTTTTTGGTTCTGTTGCTCTCCTTGTGGAGTTCCTGTCCTCTCCAGATCTTACTATTTCCCACTTCTTTCAAAAGATTCCATGCATTCTGCCCAACAGTTGGCCATAAGTCTCAGAATCTGCTTTGATAGTCATCAGGGCAGAGCCTTTCAGAGGCCCTCTGTGGCAGGTTCTTAACTTGTTTCCTGTTTTCTTCTTCTTCTGATGTCCATCCTCTTTTCCTTTCAGGATGGGGATTGAGCATTTTAGTCAGAGTCCTCCCTCTTGATTAGTTTCTTTAGGTGTATAGTTTTTAGTAGGTTTATCCTATATTATGTGTCTATATGAGTGAGTATACACCGTGTGTGCCTTTCTGCTTCTGGGATAGCTCACTCAGGATGATCCTTTCCAGTTCCCACCATTTACCTGCAAATTTCCTGATTTCCTTGTTTTTCATTGCTGAGTAATATTCCATTGTGTAGATGTACCACAATTTCTGTATCCGTTCTTCAGTTGAGGGGCATCTGGGTTGTTTCCAGCTTCTGGCTATTACAAATTTTTGTTTTATATATAATTTCTTATTTATATGTTTATAAGTATATACATTTATATATGATTTAACATATAGTGTTCAATTAGCAGATTTGCATAATAATGAGACAGATGTCCTTGCTTATTTTGACAGAAATAATTAAAGTTTCCTTGAATATTTAATACCGCCGGACATAGAGCATCTTTAGTGTTCTTTAGAGTTGATTATTATTTTATATTTATAATTACCAATGCTGAGATGCCACTTCACATGAGTACAAAAGGGCAGAAGACCACGTAGGTCCATTTCAGATGCTGTTAGAAATTCTGTCCGGATACCAAGTACTATCATTTTTTTTTTTAATGAAACTTGCTGGGCTTTCAAATAGCAACTTCTAAAACCAAACATCTTAACACAGAGCAGTCCAAAGGCATAGGAATTTAGTAGCTGTGTGCTGAGAGATGGTGGTCAGAAGACACTGGGAGTTCCTTTCCATAATTAATCCATAATTTAGTTATGTTTATATGAGAACGGAAAACTTCTGCACGTACAATAGAAACATGCCAGTCTTGAATTCGAGCCGACGTGTTTCAGGCAGCATTGACTGGTGGTGTGTGGTATGACGACACACACAGTGTAAATGCGCACATATGTTCAAACCCAGGCTGCTGTGGACTTGTGTGTGCCGCCTTGGCATGCACAGCCACAAGCACATTACACACTTGGTTTTTAAGTTAATATTTTGCCTATGCACCTTCACATTCTCCCAACCCTCACATTCAGTTTAAGATGTCAGGCACCAGAAGATGCCTTCGCCAAACAAAAGTGGCACCAGAGAGGCCAGCCTCCTCCAGCACCAGCAGAAGGGGACAATTTGTGGTATGTGTTTTTAGCAGGAAGACAGACTAGGGCCCCAGCTGGAAAAGGAAACTTTGAGGAATGGAAATTGTGGAAAGAGGGATGGGGAAGTAAATAGGAGAAAAGATGAAAGAGGGAGGGAGGATGGTGATAGTGAGGAGCAGAAGGAGGAATGATAGAAAGAGTCTCCAGCCCAAGGAAGTGAATGAACTGTTCCCGTAGACGCGGCTTCTGGAGCCTAGCCAAAGCCATTGGAGTCATAAAGGGGGAAAAGTTATTTGTAAGAAAAGTTCATGACAAAATTATTC